GATCTACACCATAAAAGAAATAGAATCCGACATGTATCGGGTATCAAAATTTTACACAGACAAATTAATTCAATATCAACTTCATAAACTTATGTCAATAAGAATCATGTTATAAACAATTTCTCTATTAGCTTTCTCTTAGCCATGTTAATGCACTCTAACAAATAAAAACACTTCCCAAATTGATTTTACACAGAACAACATTGAGCATTTTAGTTTATCATGGTTTTAGTAAAACTTGAATTCAAGAAAGAACCTACCTTGAGAAAGGGTCGTTCGACGGTGGAGGACAACCGAGAGAGACGGTGGAGGACGGAGGGAAAGGGCTGGTCGGACGAAGGACGGTGGACGGAGCTTGGATGACGGCAGAAAGAACTTGGACAGCGACGAGTTAGGGAAAGGGTTTTCGTTCGTAAGGTCTCTGAGAGAGGGAAACGAGTTTTGAAAATAGAAACAGTATGGTATTCTATTTTTTAATTTTAAATATGACTTTAGACAGCGTTGGCTAATATGGGCCTTTAGCAGCGCTTTTAAAAAGCGTTGGCTAATGTGGTCCTTTAGCAGCGCTTTTGAGATTTTTTTTTAAATTTTATATGACTTTAGATAGCACTTTTGAAAAGTGTTGTCTAAAGTGGTCCTTTACCAGCGCTTTTGATAAAGCGCTTTCTAAAGCAACACTTTTGGCAGCGCTTTTTAAAAGCGTTGTCTAAGGTCACATTTTTAGTAGCGCTTTTATTTATTATTGTATACAGTTTCCGTGTTTTTTTTTAAAATTCACTTATAGCAGCGCTTTTGTATAAAAGCGCTGTCTAATGTGCGCTGTTAAAAGCCTTTTTTGGTGTAGTGATTCCAATATTTGTGTTTTATCTTTCTACAATAACAATCTATAAATCAATAAATTTGGTAAAATTTATTGAAAAATTATGTGACTACCTTATATCCTATTATAACTTGAGCGATCTTTCAAAATCTATTATTGTATTGCAGTCAAGTGACATAAATATTTACAACCTTTTTCTATATTAAGATGTCCATTACATATAGACATCAAAAGGATTAGAGTTGAACATATTGACGACCTTTGTTAGATTTCTAGTATGTGAGTGTAAGCTCTTTAGTTTTTATTAACAATAATTATGGTTTTTGTTTCTCAATAACCACTACTATAAAAAAACACATTTTACCACGGTTGAGAGAAAGATATTATCACAGTTAGAGGTCTGGGGTAACGAAGGGTTTGTTAGTATGTGCCCTCTTCATCACCACAGGTTGATAGCTGTGGTAAAAATACAATAACACATATTACACCACCTCGGTTGTAGAAATCAACCGTAGCAAAAGGTGGAATGGTCATGGATTTGATGTTCAACACTAGAATTTTAAGAGATTTATCAACATTTCACCATAGTTGTATGTTCCAACGTAGTGAAAAAGTTAGCACACAATATTTCACCACGATTATATATTTCAACTCTGATGAAATATTCATTTGAATTTATTATAACTTATGTGGAATGATTATTTTATCAACTACTCACTAAATATAACCTTTCAATTTGATTTAGAAATTAATAATATAATAAAGTAAGATAATTAAAAGAACAAGTTACACTTATCAATATTTTTCAAACTTTCTGCAACCCATTATCCGTATCTCATTCTTTTATAGCTAGAATTTATTTTAATGCTTCTAATTCTTCAATCAACACTTCCTTCTCTATTAGTTCATTATGAAAAGTATTAACTTTGTAAACAGAACTCATAGAGATGAAAGGGATGACAAAAGAACTATAAGTATTTAACTAAATTTTAACTGTACACCCTATAATTTGATTTATTTGTTTAATCAAATTATTAGCGTTTTAATTTTATTATTTAATATGTAGTGTGCTTTTAATAAAATAAACAATGATTATATAAGAGTATGTGGATTAAGGTGGGTTGTAGTGTGATTGGTGGAGTATAATGAGAGCATGATCTTTTGGTAAAATTATTAGAATAATTAAATTTAATAATTATTTCTCATCTTCCTACCCTAATTTTTTAGTGTTTTTTCTATCTTCTCTCTTCTGCACTTCTTTTTCTCTGTTTCTACGTTCTAACTCTTTTCCATTATTCTTATTCTAATATATCTTAATAATAATATAACATTCTTAATTAATTAATAATAATTATTTAATAATTATTATAAAATAATAATAATTCTAATATTATAATATAATAATACTAATAAACTATATTATACCACACACCCCATGATTCTACACTTTTAGCCATACACCTCTATGATTTTAATTTCAATAATTTTAAAGTATATAATTCCCAACAAAAGTATCACATCACACTATAAAATCCACTAATTCATAACAATACACTACATCATCTAATTATTTAATTAAAAACAATTCTAATTAAATCGGAGTATTACAAAAATCAACCACCTCTAACTAACTCCTATTGTCATAACCAACTCAACTAGGATAATTTGGATTACACTCAACAAATTCAAACCCGACTAGGTTTGTTTTCTGTCCATAAAAATAATCATTAGCTATGAAAGAATTTTAGAAGATTCTAGACCTCTCTAGTAGAAGAGATTCTTTCAAAGAGACCTCTCAAGAGCATGGAAAAGGATTATACATGAGAATCTTCCATTGAAAATTTGAAACAATAAAAATAAATTAATCGTTTTTTTTTTAAAATTTATTTTAAATGTGATTATTTTTTATTTTTTGAGAAATTGTATATGTTACCCATAGTTTAAACTGTGATAAAATAAATAAAAATCTTATTTATCTATGATTTAATAATAATAATAATAATAATAATAATAATAATAATAATAATAATAATAATAATAATAATAATAATAATAATAATAATAATAAAAATTTAATATTGTACAGTAACTCACTTTACACACCATGAGATACGGCACTAATACTTATATACTTATTATCATTTTTCCTCAGTTTATAATCCAATAATATTAGTAATAGTAAATATTTGAAATACTCCTAAAAGAATAATGGAGAAAAACTCAGACCAAGTTATTTCAAGAGTTCGTTCTGAGCTTTGAAAACAATTTTGAAGAGTATAGAAATTTTGCCTCTGCACATTGTTGCTATAACAAATTCTATCATTCTCTAATAAATTAAACCTTATTTGTAAAGTTATGTGACATGAAAAAGACTATAGATCAATGCAATCATCATTCTCTACTTTAGATGACCCAAGAAGATCTTCCAACACCTTGTTATCCAAATACTCAAATTCAATTACTTCCTTTTGCTCTCTAGAACAAGTGGAAGACGACGATGACTTCGACCGCGATAAAGAAGAAAGATGAAGATAGTATTCATCAGGAAAATTGAGAATGGAAAGAGCACCTCTCAAACGAATGGCAGCACAATCATAAGCTCTAGCAGCTTCCTCAGCAGTGTCAAATGTTCCTAACCAATGTCTTCCAGTTGGCTTTGTAGGGTCTCTAATCTCTGCCCCATATTTTCCCCATGGTCTTCTCCTTACACCCCTATATTTTACTCCTTCACCTCCCTTATGTTCCTCTTCCATTTTCCTCTTTGGTTACTATTTTGGATATTTATTAACTTGCACTTTTTTGCTGTTGTAACATTTGTTATATATAGGTAGCAACAAAGTCATGAAACTGTGTCATATTTTGTTGTTTTCAACCAATGGATGCATGTATTGACTTGATTCATGGAGGTGTATAAATTTGATTATTGAATTGTTTATAGGCTTATACGTTTTTGAATGAACTAGAATTTAAATATGTGGACAGGAAAAATTGATTTATTTTAGGTGTATATGAGGTGGAGGAAACTTTAATGCGCGTATCAATTATTACTAATATGATATTATATATTATTATTGGTTTGGGATCGCGCAACCAAATTCGAATTCTCTGCAGATTATTGGCATCATGTAATTAGGATATGAATAATTCAATTCAATCTGATGTAGACACGAGTTTGATCACAACACATTAATTGATATTTTAAAAATAATTTTGCATTTTGTAAATATTGGTAAGTTTTTTAAAAAAATTATATGGGCAGGATCTAATGTAAGTATGACGTACCTGGAAGGTTTTAAACAGAGAAAAATTGTTATAGTCTCTAGCTAGTTTTAAAATATGCAGTAATCTCTATAAAATTACATATGTTAATGAAAAAAAAATAACAATAGAAAATTCATCATTAAATGTCATTTATATTTATAGTTTTTTATTTTTATTTTACTAAATATTTATGTTGATATATGTAATTTTAGAGGAAAATTTATTAGAATGTCAATCCTATTTTAATAGACTTTTCTATATATGAATGTAATTTCATTTTTTAAATTACTACTCTGTTGAGATTGTGTCAAGTATTTCACAATTTGGACTGTTGTGAATGTTCCGTCATAGATTGTGGTAATCGGATTGTGAGTTATTTGTATTATTATTACACAAATTTTATTAAAATTATTTAAATGTATAATAATTTATTAAATTTTTTTAAATTACTACAAGGTGTTTAAAGTAGTTTTTTTAATAGAAAAATATGAGCCATATATTAAAAATAAAATAGCAAAGAGTTAAAGAGTCGGAATCCACTTCCACGCCAAGCTAATTATCATAGATATCCAATGATTAATTGTCAAGCTTTCCCTACAAAAAATAACTTTGTTCTTCAATTTTGAAATAGTCCAGACCACAAAATATCAGATCCAAGTTAGGCCTAAAGACTTATGTTTTACATATCCAAAAACATGAAAACTATTCAAAAAACCCTAAGATCGAGCAAGGAAAAGCCCTTGGTCACCCTACCCATTGAAATATTCTATACCAAATGACAAAAGCTACCTCACACAAAACAAAGAGATGATATGTTGTCTCCACATGCCAAACACATATAACATACTCCCCAACACTAGGACTTAACACAATTTTACGTCTAAGAAGATTGTCCCATCAACTTATTTTGAATCAGCTTTCAAGAGAACACCACAACTTTAGATGGAGTCCAACTCTTCCAAACCCTAGAAAATCCCCTCACCACCCTCTCAGGCATGTCTTCCCTGACCCCTGCCAGATGTATCAGGCTACCATAAGTCAAACTAACTGAAAACTCCTTAGTCGAGTCACTTTTCCAAACCCAAGAATCCACCTTATCACGTCTAGTTATACCCATGATAAGAGCAAGAAAAACCTCGAATACATCTTTCTCCCAGACTCAGAAAGACCGTCTCCATCTAATATACAACTTCTTTCAAATAGACATCGACATATTTATATAAGATATAAAGAACACCAGGATTGAATTCAAATTTGAGTTCAACAAAACAACCATACAACCTAAGCTAACAAATTTATTCCTCCAAGAATCTAGTCATTTAGTGACCAGGCTAACCAAAGGGTCCTAAGTCTTTTCCTTCTTTGGATTCTCTCCCACCGAGAGCCCGAGATAATTAAAAGGAATCGACTCCACCTTACAATGTAAAAATTCCTCTATCAAATCCATGAAAGGCTTACCCATATTCATGCCTAACAAATAACTCTTGGAAAAGTTCACTTTAAGACCCGAGACAAGTTCAAAAATTCTGAGAACCGCCTTAATAGTCAAAATATTCTCAATAGATGACATCTCCACCAATATTGTGTCATCGACGTACTAGAGATGAGACACCACAAGTCCATCTGCACCCATCTTAAAACCTTTAAACACATCTACCAAGATCACCCTTCTTAAAGAAGCATTATGACCCTCCATCACTCCACCTTTAAAATGCATGAATTTAATGAATCAATAAAATTTAATTAGAGATAACCAAATACTAGATAACATGACAAATGCCATGTTTAAAGAGTGACAAATAGTTAAAAGAAGATAAAAGTGTATAATTAAGCATGACAATGGGGTGGTGGAGGAAATTTTTTAACTTTTTCAATGAGAGTTTGAGTGGGTATCCACGATTACAGTTTTGTCCTTATATATATATATATATATATATATATATATATATATATATATATATATATATATATATATATATATATATATATATATATATATATATATATATATATATATATATATATATATATATATATATATATATATATATATATATATATATATTGAGATACATATTAAAAACTATATTTGGTTGTCTATTTTTATGAATAATATTATATCACGGCTGTAACAATGTTTCACATTGACGTTGTTAAAAGTGTAATTCCTTGTGTCGAAGCAGATTGTTGCTCGACACAAGGTGTGTCAAAAAACTTAGTATGTTGAGTTGTTAGCCGTCGAAGTGTTGTAAGCAAGTTGGTACACACATATTTCAATTTAGGTCTATAATAGGTATTTTGGGCTTTTATAGTTTTTGGCTTTTTCGAGTATGTTCATTATAAATAGATGGAGTAACCCCTATTTTTTGTAAGAAACTCATAACAACTTTTATTCACAAAATTTTGCAGTTGCAAAGTGAATGAAGATTTTCCACAGTTTATGGACAGAGAGAAACTCTGCAGAAACCCTAATCTCTTTTCTTCTTTAATTTTCTTTCTTTCATCGTTATTGTGTAGTGAAAACAATCTTGTTCATCAAGATTGATAGAAATTCTCCATAGGTTTTGGTGGATTTCCAACATCTGGTGTTAGAGTCTGGTTGAGAGATCAAGGGAAGAAGAAGAAAATCACAATGGCGATGAATTATGTGAATGGAAATTGTGATCGGTGGAAATAGAACTGACTGTTTTTAGCTGGTTTCGCAAAACGTCACGGAAGCAAGAGTCGCCACCGTCTTTTATGTTCTCCAACATGGAAAGGACAAAAGCACAGCAAAATTCCTTATGAGAATGTTTCTCGGTTCGGGAGGTAGATTTATAGAAAGGGAAGGTGTTAGCACCCTTTCTATCCGTGGTTATCCACGGGCTCTTAGGTACTTGCTCTTATGTTTTCAAAAATATTTGCTTTTCAAATGTGTGTGGGTTTTGAAAAAAAGTTCGTTTAAAAAAACTTCTAGGTAACTCTTGTATCAGTCCTCAAGAGAGTATGAAGTATTTGTTTGAAAACTTTTTGAAAGTGCGAGTGCGAAAAGTTTGTTTTTGTTTTTGAAAGAGCAAGTACCCAGGAGAAATCTACCTACTCTAAGGAATTAAGCTGTGTAAGAGTCCTTTAGACAGTACTATCCCACTATTGAGAAGTAGGTAGCACCGTCGTTGGAGTTTTCAGGTCAATTCGATTATAGGGACATGTGTGGTCACCAAAGCAATAGTAGGACGCCTTAGCGGTAACCCTAATGTCCTAGATCCTTTTTATCCGAGGCAACCGTTTTGAGGCAACTGGATCTTTAGACAAGAGGGCGACCTCTAAGACGTCCTATACTTGATGACCACGTTTCGAGGCAACGAGTGAAGCGTACCCTAGGGGTGGCATGTGCTTTGTGTATTGTTTTTCAGTTAATGTTATCTTGTACATGTTATTTGTGAGCTACGGATTGTTTTTAATTTACATACATTCTTTCATGCATTTAACAGTTAGGAGTGCGGAAAATTAATTGCGGAAAGATAAATTCTACGCTATGACAAGGCGCGGGTCTATACATCGCCAAAAATACAAAGACCCGTTTTGGTAAATAAGTACGAGAAATTAAATAAAGCGGTAAACCTATTTACTATTACATTCTTGAAAGCAATTACATAATAATTAAAATAAAATGCGCGCGAATAAAAATTAATCGGGAACGTTCTAAGGGTTTTGACCCTTTTAAGAAAAGAAATTGAATTTTTTTGTCTTTGTTGTGATTAAATGAAATTAATAACTAACAATTAAACTAATTAATTAATTTATTAAAAGAAAATATTTTTTGTGTTTTTTATGTTTTTTAATGAAAATAAAATAAAGGAATTAAAATTGAAAGTTAATAAAACCTAATTCTAAACTTATTTTAATTATAAAAAAAAAGTTAAAGTTGCCTAATTAAACTATTTTATTTGTTAATATTTATTTTACAAAAATAAAATGAAATTAATAATGTTAGTTCTTTTTTTAATTTTTTTATGAAAACATTAATTGGTTAATTGTTAATAATAAAAATAATTAAAAAGGTTAATAATTAAATTAGAAAATATAAAAAAGGAAAAGAAAAGAATAAACCAAGGGAAGGGGGTATGGGCCAGAATGGAGGGTGTATGTGGAATTATGAGGCCCATTTGAATCTTCAGCCACGTTGACTCTTTCTGGTTGCCTACACCCATGTTGACTCCAGAGCACCATGGTCCTCATGCTTGGCCCTTGGATTTGCACTGATGGACATTTGGCAGGCTGAGATGTGAGGCTTATGGTGCTCATCATTTGGGAATCTGCACAAGAATGCATTTGAAAAAATAATATTGGAATTATGGGGGACCTGGGAATCGAACCCAGGTCCCAAGGTTCTATACACGTCCATCCAAACCACTGAGCCAAGCGCGTTTGTTTGTAAACATAATAAGAAAAAAAGGAATATATGAAATAAGCGCACTATATGCTGAATCAAGTGGAAACGCGCGCGCCAATTTGAACCTGCCAATCATCTATTGCCACGCCCTTCGTCTTCAACCTTTCCTGTAAAATATAAAAACACATAGCGGGGGTTTTAAACCCCCACAAAATGCAAGCATTTAAAAAATAGCGATTAGGCGCTCGTGCAATATAAATTGGGCGCGAGATATGCTTTGGATTCGTCTCCTCCTGCTGATTTCAACCATGGGTGTTTGGAGAGTTAATTTTACAGTATAAGAAAAACTCCAAAATCACGAGCTTTGAAAACCTAGAACTCAACAATGGTACTTTGCGTTTTAAGGCGTCATAATCAAATTAAGTTATACAGAAAGCTTCATATGGGTCCTGTGAACACAATGCAATCAATAAAAAGTGTTAAAAACGTATGAAGGGATGATTGTGATTTTGAGAAAGAAGGTAAACCGTGTGACTTGTATGGCACGATTTCTTGAGGTTTTTGGCTTGTTCTTGGCTGCAAACGATTCCTGGGGATGTAAGGAATGTGTTTGGATCAAAAGGGAGGTTTGAATTATGCTGCAAAGTGGTTTTCAGTTTGTGACTTTTCTCTTGAAATTTTGAAGTTGGTTATGCTGCCTCTGAGTTTTCTAGGTCGTGAATCATGTGTGGGAGGCTTGCATATATGTCCTTTAATGAGAATCAATCCAAATCATGAGCCTTAAACCAATGTAATTATGTTTTGGATTTTGCCATAACCTCCATTGAAGAAACTTGCCTTTCTTGTCCAAATTTGAATTTTTATGCTTGAAATAGGATGTACACGAAATTGGTATGTGTTTCATGATGCATCAAGGCTATTCAAAACAAAAGATATCCCTTAATTAATTTCTTGATTTTTATTTGAATTTTAAAGATTTAAAATGAATTAAACCAAATAAAATTAAATAAAAATAGAAAAATTAATTTTTAATTTTGAAATAAATCATGGGACACTTGGGTGACATGGAAAAGCTGACTCAAGTGGAAAAAGTGGGCCCTTTTTGTCAAAAAATGAAGTTTCATGGATAGTTGACTTTGGCCATTTCACAAAAATTTCCCAAGTTCTCCAATGCATATCTTGCTCAATTTTGAAGCTATGAACATGTTCTTGGACATTTTGGAAAGGTCTTGAAGTCCTCTAACCAATGCCTTTGGTCCCATGTAATTTTGATTTACCAATATCAAGTTATGGTCTTTGACTTAAAGTTCCTTTTTGTTGACTTTTGAAAATGACCTATAATGTTGAAATTGATAACTTTTTGTGAGAGCATTTCTTGGACTTGGAATGTGAAGATGAGTTGTAGGAAATGTCTTCCCCTTAAAGATGAGCATTGGATGGGATTTTTCTGATGAACCATGAAAAAGTTATGCCTTGGTCAAGTTACAGTTGACTTTTCAGCTCTCCAAAAATAGAAACTTTTGACACCTTGATGATTTTTGAGCCATTCTTGTGAAATCATGGTCAAGATTTGATCAAATGATGATTGTGGCTTCAAAATAAGATGTTGACCAAAAATTTTGACTTTTGACTTCCAAATGACCATTTTGCCCCTATAGTTGACTGTGGAGTAATTAGGGTTTTTGACTGTGCAACTTGACCTTGTGAGCCTTGAAACTTGACATGTAGGTGCTTGACAATGTATATGAGCATATGGGACTTGATTGGACCCTTGGAAACCTCAACTTCCTTGCAAGAACCAAAACCCTAATTTGACTGGCTTTAGGAGAGTGGTTGACTGTGTAACCCTTGAGTAGACTTTGAGCAAATTGAGATGATGCTTGTCAAAACTTTGAAGAATATGGGAGGGCAAATTTTGGGGTACAACAGTTGCCCCTGTTCAATCTTCTTAGACCTGAGGATGTAGATTGGCTTGCGTGCCTTTCGTGATCCGAAGGTGGAAGATGATTGAACACTAGAGTGCCCAGAAATTTGCACTCACATAGTAGAATATCAGCAGTGTGGTGGAGGGAATGGGCTTACAGATGCCATTTGGAGAGATGGTGGATAGGAGGATGGGCTTATAGATGCCATCTGGAAGTGTGACAGGACCTTGTCGGGAATGGGCTTATAGATGCCATTTGGAACTGTGATGGATA